GGACTGCAGCTGGGCTGGATGGCCAGTGGGTCTATTTATGGGACTCTGTGATTGTGTGATGTGGGAAAGCATCAACCTCGAAGTAACTGTTTTGTAATTCCTTCTCATTGTGAGGGGGATCATGCAATCCCATTTTCATCTCCAACAGAAGACAGATGGGTAGGCAAGCTCTCTTTCACAGGTGGGACTGCTCAATCTTAATGTAAGCAGACTGCTGGAATATTTATCCTCAGAAGCCACAGATGAGTATTTTCCTGAACAAAAAAGCTCCACACAATCACGACAAAATGCTCACCCAGCCTTTGAGTGAAGACCCTCACCACTGCTTCCTGAGGTAGCCTGCCCATGTGTGGATTCGTGGGACATTTGTCCTTCCATTAAGCCTCTCTATAATGCAGTCTGCCTTTAGCCTACCATTCATTCCAGGCTTGTTATATATTTAATATATACTGGCTCCAACTCCCATCTCCACACCTTTGTCCAGGATGTGCCCCTAAGCCCATGCCTGGTATACATCTCATCAGAGAGTCCCTAGCTTCCCTTGAGGTTCAGGTCAAAGACCACCTCCAATAGCAAGTGCTTCTCACAATGCCTGGCACATAGTAGGTGCTCAATGATTGTTTCCTTCCTTCCTCTCCTGATCCCCACAGTTGCTAGTGCCCTTTCTCCACCAAATTGCTTCACATTTATATGTGTTCACTTTCCAAACTTGGAAAAATATCTTTTATTTAATTTTTGTGTCAGTTTGCTTTTCCTTAGTAATTCAATCCATTTATTAAACTCATACAGTGGGTCAAGCAGCACTGGGATGAAAAAGAAAAAAGAAAGACAATCCCTGCCCTCAAGGAGTTTACACTCTAATGGGGGAAGACAGCACACAGAAGGAAGATGACAAGGGGGTACCAAGGGGCACCCAGCACAGGGCTGGGGGGACTGGGCCATGATATTCCATGGAGTCAAAACCAGGCAGACCAGCTGAGACTTACCTGGGAAGTTCACATCTGAGCCTTCTAGGCGGGAAGGATTTGGGAAGAGCTTATTGCTCCACCTTCCAGGCCTCCAATCAGAGAGGACAGGCAACTGAGGTGGCTGAGAGGGTATCAAAAACTGAATCAGTTTCCTGGCTCAAGAGAACCAGGGACAGCTTTGTGCTTGTCTTTGTATCACCAGCTCTTGGCATGGTGGATGGAACACAGTAGCATTTATAGAGCACAAGAAAGTTTGCAAACTGCTTTGGGAATGTTATCTCATTTGAACCTCACAACTAGCCTGGAAGGTAGGTGCCATTATCAGCCAAAACTATCATGCCCAGCACTGAGCTGAGCACAGAACTCTAGATGTTGTCTGGCTGGGGCAGAGCATGGTGTGACTCTCACCTCCAAGGACCTGGAAGCTTAAGACAACATTAGCTATCTGGACCTCAGATCTCCAGCTATTTTGGGAGAAAGTAAGTGGAGGAAAGCAACCTGCAAGGGGATACTTCTGGAAGATGTGTCGCCCAGACACACAAATTGAGTTCTCTCTCACTGAAGACTGCAGTGTTAAAACTTGACACTCCAAAAATAATCCTCATGCAACTCCTACCCAGTATTAACCAAGATGCTGCAGACATTCAGGGGGCAGGTCCTCATTTTGTTCCTGTTTTCTCAGCTAAGGAGGATGTCCTCTGGACTGGAAAGGACAGAATGAAACGGCTAACAGGAACTTGGTAGCCAAGATGATTAGGGAGATGGTAAGAGAGTCCCTACCTGTCCTTCCTGAGTTTGACACCTTGCCCCGATGAAGACCAAAGAACTGATAGATGCCACGGGGTTGCTCAGCTATGGTTATGAGTCAGTCTTTGAGAGATCATGGGAAGTGGGAAAGCACCACAGGATTGGAGAAGGGGAAATATTGTCCCAATGTTGAAAAAAAGGCAAAGAATGGAGACTAGAGGCCAGACAATTTGCCTTTGATTCTTGGCCAAATTCTAGGGTAGATTAGGAAAAGGACGTTACTGAACATGTAGAAAAGGAAGCAACAATCACAGAATGATGAGCACCTGGCTACATCAATTACAGATGGTGGCAGCCTCATTTCACTTCCTGCCTTGACAGGGTTGCTAAACTGGGAAAGGCTGTGGATGCAGATGATAGCAAAACATGTGAAAAAAAAAGTTCTGATGAAATTCTTGTTGGGGAGAAGGCAGGAAAGGAAAATATGCATGTATTAAGCTCCAAATACGTGCCAAGAACTGAGATTAGTGCTTTACAAACATGAACTCATTTCAGCTTTACAACAACCCTGGGAGGTAGGTGCTATTATTATTCCCATTTTATAATAGAGGAAACTCTGGCAAAGAGAGGGTAAGTGATGTGTCTGAGGTCACACAGCTAAGAAGCGTCTGAGACCAGACTGGAACTTAGATTTCTACAGAAGAGTAGATTGAGGCCCAGAGACATTAAGTGATTTGCCCAAGGTTGTACAGTAAACATCAGAGCCAAGACTTTGATCCAGCTCCTATGATTTCAAGTCCAGTCCCCTTTTCCCACATAACACATTTCCCTCCTAGGGCAGAGCAAAGTTGCAAAAAAAAGTTTGCCAAGCAAAAACACTGGGCTTAATCAAGTAAAAAGAAAATTAATTAGGATAACATCAAATCTTACACTTGGTTTCAGAAAGTCTATTTCATGAGTCCAAAATGGAGTAGCACAATGGTGCATGTGAGAAGAAGATGGCAAACTAATCCGTACCACTGTGTTGCCAACAACAGTTAATCCCATCTTAGGCTACCTCAAGAAAATCGGGTTTAAGGGTATAGAGGCAATGGGCCCTCTGCACTCTGCCCTGGTCAGAATCCATCTGGAGAACTACGTTTGGTCACGGCTGCCCAATTTCAGGAAGAGTATTGATAAATCAGAGTGCATCCTCAGGAAGGTGGCCAGGTTGGTGAAAGGCCTTGAGTCCATGTCATGTGAAGACAGTAGGGATGCTGAAAGGCCTGGAGAAGGCCCATGTGAGACATGAGAGGTATCTTCAGTATTCATAGGGATTGTCACATGGGATTATTCTCTTCCTTGACTTTTGCTCTAAATCAAAGGTCTTATCCCTGCTCCTTCCTTCCATCACTCAAAACAAATGGCCTCAGCTCCTATTTGACTGAAAACATATCTGAGGGCCTTCCCATGCTGAGAGGGAATGCCATCAATTTTCTCCCTACTCACATCTGTTGCCCTGAAGTCCACTTCACCTGTCTCCTGTTCCTCTTCTGTCCCTGGGTTCTTTTCCTCTATGTCCTTAATTTCGACATTGCCCAAGGCTCTTATCTCAGGTCTCTTCTCTTTCTACAGTTTCCCTCGGGGATATTTTCCCCCCAGTCCCATCATTTCATTGTCGATCTTGGAGGACTTCTATATCGATCTAGTTTTCATGACACTGCTCTCTCCTGGATTTCCTCTTACTTGTTGGACCACTTCTTCTCATTTGCCTTTGCTGGATGTTTGTCCAGGTCATGTCCACTCAATGTGAGTGTCTGCTGAGGAAGTCTCTGCCTGGATTCCACTTCTCTGTCTACAGGTGATCTTGTCAGCCTCAATAGTCATCTCGATGCTGATGATTCTGGCATCTATTTTCCAGCCCTAAACTCTCTCTTAACCTCCAGTGTCACATCGACAACTAACCACCTGTTCAACATCTCAAACTGGATGTCTCCTAGACATCTTAAACTCAACATCTCCAAAACCAGGCCCATCAGCATCCCCCCAACCCTCCCCTCTTCCTCATGTCCTATCACTGTTGAGGGCATCATCATGATCCCAGTCACCCACACCACCAAACCAAGTGTCATCCTGGACTCCTCATTCTCTTTCATTCCCTGTACCTAATCTGTTGCCAAATGTTGAGCATTCTGCCTCTTGGCACCTTTTCTATACATACACTTCTCTCCTCTGTCACTGCCACCAAGCTCTCTCCACTCTAATCAATCCTTCACTCAACTGTCAAGCTCATCTTCCTAAAGCACTACTCTGATCCTATCATCTCTCTATTCAGTAAACTCCAGGGGCTCCTCGGGCCCTCCATGATCGAATGTAAAACCTTGTGTTTGCTGTTCAAACCCCCTTGTAACCTGCCTCCTCCTTCCAATCTTCTCACACCTCCCTCTTTCTTCCCTACTCTGTGATTCCATGACAATGGCCTCCTTTGGTCAAGACACTCCACCTCCTGACACTAGGCATTTACACTGGCCAGCCCTCATGCCTGGAATGCCCTCCCTCCTCACCTCTGCCTCCTGGTCTCCCTGGCTTCCTTCAGGTTTCAGCTAAAATCCTACCTTCTACAGGAAGCCTTTCTCAACCCTTTGTAATTCTCCCTAACTAATTCTTAATACATAAATTCTCTCTCTTCATTCTTCCTAATTTCCCTCTAGTGACGATTTCAAATTTATCTCTGTATGTTTTGTTTGTACATAGTTGTCATTAGCCTGGGAGCACCTTCAGCGATGGGACCACCTTTGCCCATCTTTGTGCTTTCCTGAGTTCAAATATGGCCTCAGATACTTACTAGCTATGTGACCCTGGGCAAGTCACTTCACCCAGCTTGCCTCAGTTTCCTCATCTGTAAAATGAGCTGAGAAGGAAATGGCAAAACATGCCAATATCTCTGCCAAGAAAACCCCAAATGGTTCATGAAGAGCTGGGCATGACTAAAAAATGACTGAACAACAAAAAATTCTCAGGGATGTTGTAAGGATAAAATGAGACCATATTTGTTAAGCTCTGTATAAATGCTATTATCTCCATTGCACTTTGAAACGATGGCATTTATTGTTGTCTCTTTTCTTAAGGTTTGTCTCCTGTGAATTTCTGGATTTTGTCATGTGGATTCAGGAAGGCCATCTGGGGGACAGTCAGCAGTGGGGCCAGGCAGCTGTGCCACTGAAGCATCTCTGGCCTCTCTGTGACTGAATTATACCCCATCCCCTTCCAGAGTATTCCTATAATTCTACATCACCTGAAAAGATACATCAGCTTAGGACACCATTTAATTTATTCTTTTATTCAAACCCTCTCTGTTCTCACGGAAAACAACAAAAAACATGCACATGTTTTTCTGGGACAGTCACTCCACTTCGACCTCCATGGGATGTTCCGTTCCCAGTGCCCTGATAAAGCCACAAGCACCATTACTTTCAGGAAGCCAGGTGTCCCAGCACGCCATTGCACACATGCAGCCCATGGCGTGCTGAGTGCATCAGTCCTCTTATGAAGGAGGTGGATTCATTCTTTCACGAGCTCCACATATTTCAGCACATTCTTTATCATTCGCGTCTGACCAAGGGATGCTTTGGTAGAAAAAGAGCACAAAAATGATGGAAAGCAGACCCACAAGGAGGACCATGTTGATAATCAAGGCTGAGAGCAGAACAATGACAGCTGGGATTTTTTTGTAAGTTTTCTTGGATAAACATTCTGGAGATTTTGTAGTCGGTTGGATGATCTTAACAGTGGGGCCAAAGCTGGGAAGGGGTATTTCAGACTCTGTCTCGTATATGCCATATTTGGCACGAGGGGTAACAGCATGAGGCACATCTAAGCGGATGGCCTGAGTTGGAGGGTTGTTTTTATCAGGGAATGGGGCTCTGACCTCCAGGGAAGTATAGACCTCGAGAGGGGGGCCACTGTCCACACTGCCCCCAAAGCCCCTAGAATCACACGTGGGAGGGGCATAGCCATCATCACAGTGACAATGCTTGAGGTTGTTGCAGACCCCTCTGCCATGACACACGGCCTCCGGCTCACAGTCATACCGCAGTACCCGCACGTCAGAGCACGTGCGGTTGAGACAGATCTTCTGGGGGCCACACAAGGTGCCCGCCTTCACGGCCCCTCCGTCAGGGACATCCACGTCCTCAAACAGGTCCACCCCCCAGCACCACGTGTCTTCCAGGGGGATCTGGATGAAAGTGTGGTGGTTCCTCGTTTGGGGCAACCTCGGGATGTCCTCACACAGCAGCCTCCCACACATGACATCTTCAGGCTCACACTTGACAAACGCCTCGTGTGACCCTTTCTGGCCGCTGCCACAGTTCCCAAACCTGTCCCCCTGGCTGTTCAGGTGGTGGTAACAGCTCTGCCGGGCGGCTCTGGAGCCCTCACCAAACACCTCCACACACTGCCTCTGCAGGCTCCTGCACCGCCCCTGGTAGCAGTAACCTCCGCCACTGCATGGGGTGCCATCTTGCTTGTAGGTGTCAGGCTGGCACCACATTGAGCTGCCAATACAGTATTCGGGGAGGTCACACTCATCCACGCTGGGACGACAGGGCGTGCCTGCCTTCAGAAACTTGCACTCTCTGCAGCATGCTCCAAAACTGCAGTCTGAGCCCTGCCTCATCTGGCAGGAGGGCAGGCAGCACGGGTCCTTCATACAGTCACGGGGACCGCCACAGTCACACTCTTCCCCTCTGTCTACCACGTGGTCCCCACAGAAGGGCTTCCTGACCTTTCCCCTGGGCGCCGGCTTGTCATACAGGCAGGACCCTTTGTGTTGGCGCAGGAATTCGTAGAAATCGTCGAAGCTACAGTTGCTGAAACGACTCTCAAAGCTGAAGGTTTCAAGCATGATGCAGGAGGGCTGGTCAGGACACATGCAAGCCAGGTGGTCGTGCTTCATGCCAAGGTTATGGCCCAGCTCATGCACCATGAGCACTGCAAAGACAGTAGCATCTTCATGATAGAAAGATTCGACTCCTGCTGAAAGCTCAGACACACAGGCCCCACTGAGAAACGCTTCCCCCAGGTATTCTCCTGGATCGTATCCTACTATGAGATGGGCAACATCATGCCTTGCCCGACCGACCAGCTCCTCTTCTCTCCACCGGTTGAAGTTGTGCAGCACTTCCCGCAGGTCCCCAGAAATCCCCACCTGGTCCCTCTCTGTCCAGATCTCCAAACCTATCAGGACCACCTTGACGTGGATTCCCTGGCTGTAGGTGTTAACGTGGGCAAGGGCATCCATCACCGTCCGCACTGTCTTGGTCACGTTGCCATTCCACATTTGGAACCGCCTATTGTCAACCACGACAAACATCTCCACGTACTTGGTGTGGGACCAGATGTAGCTGAGAAATCTGACAGGCTCGGCTTCTTCATAGCCATAATTCTCATCCCCTCTTGGATGCAGATTCGGTGTGGACTTTGGGGTATCTTCTTCTTTGACCTTACAGGAGCCTCTTATATGCCCATCCATGTGGTACAAGGCATGTTCAAAATTCTTCGAGGTACCAATGGGTTCAATGCCAAAGACTGATTTATCTATAGTTATCATGCCTTTGAGGCCTGAGCAGGTGCTGACGGAAACCAGGGACCGCAGCTCACCTTCCACATATCCATCGTAATAGCAGTCATCCTGGATAAAAGGCATGTCCAGGTCTAAGGCTTCTTTGGTGTAGGTGTAGACAGGGAAGTCCTTCATGAACAATCCTCTTTTCAACCTTAGCTGAATCACTTGCCTTTTACCTCTCATTAACAGTATGTAAGACAGTTTTTCTATTGATTCTTCTCTGCTTTTGAATGTTTCTAATTTCCTGGGGATGATTATTTCATAATAAGTATAAGACCCCTGGGCACAGGATGTGCTTGGAAGAAGCATGCACAGCCACAGAAAGATGAACTCCAGGCCAACGATGGAGGAACTCAGGCCAAGGCCCCAGACCCTCATTTGGGGCCCTGTGAATAGATATTTTTTTCTAGTCTCACCCATGGCTATGTAACTACCTGGGAGAGGGGCCAGGGGATGTAACTGGAGCTGTAGCCACAGACATGGCCCACGTGAAGCAGCTGATGATAGTTGGGCCTCTGTCTTTGAGGGCTTCACCTTTGGCTCAATGGCATGCCCTTGACCCCATACCTCTGTGGGCTGCCTGCAAAGGATCTCAGGTCCTTCGGTGACTTTCTGCCTCCTTCTGTCCACCCTCTACAGATCCAACTTCTGGCCCTTGCCACGGTCTGATTCTGTGATCTTCCTAGGACAGCAACAGCTCTAGCGCTTCTGGGACCACTCTAGGCTTCATTCTTAGCCTTCTCTTGCCCCCAAAGAAGGCTCTACCACATAGCAGAGCCCCAGTCTCGAACGAGGCTCGGGACAAAAGGATAAAAAAATCAACTCTCACTCCTTCCTTAGCCCTGGTCAGTATGAAAAAACACCCCTCCCCCACTGCGCCAGGCATCCGTTGCCCTGCCGACTCTAAGAATCCAACTGTCCCAGAGCCAGGGGAAGTGTGTGGGCTGAGCCCCAGAGCTCTCTGCTCATTCCTCTTGCTCTTAAATACCACACCACTCCCTACTCTATTCTACGCTGCCTCCTTGGCCCCAAAGAGGTTTAGGCTCAACTTCTAATCTGATGGTGATTTCAGAGCGTCCCCTGTGCATCCACACTCCCTCTTCAAGGGGGCTGAGCCTGCCCCTTGCACTTTTGAGTCTTCCTTGGCTTGCCACATGCTAATGACAATTGAGGTCACTGTCATGAGACCTCAAGCCTCAAACAGGGAGCATATAAGGGCCAGAAAAATTATAAGTGCTCTCTCCTTGTGCCCAGAAAAACAGATGACTTGGCATCCCAATAGTGTGGCTAGGAGGGCAGTTATCCTAGGGGTCAGGGTGGAATGATGGACTTGAGGTCATGAAATTCCTGGATTCAAATCCTCTCTTCTGACTCCCCGACACGTTCTTGGACAAGGGAACAAGCACATATATAGTGCCTAGTACGTGCTGTGCTGAGCGTTTACAAATATGATCCAATTTGATCCTCACAACAATCTTGGCAGGTCAGTGCTGTTATGATCCCCATTTACAGTCGAGGAAACTAAGGCAGACAGAGGCTAAGAGACTGGCCCAGAGTGACACAGGTAGGAAGGATCTAAGCTAAGTACTCTGTGCACTGTGGCGCCCCCTAGTGGCAAGTCACGTAACCTCTCTAAGGCTGCATTTCCTTATCTGTACTATGAGGTCACTGGGGCAGCTGGGTGGTGCAGTGGATACAGTGCCCGACCTGAAGTCAGGAATACAAACGTTCAGATCCAGCCTCAGGCACTTCCTAGCTGTGTGCCCATGGCAAGTCGCTTCACCCTGTTTGTCTCAGTTTCCTCAGCTGTAAAATGAACTGGAGATGGAAATGGCAAACCTCCCTAGTATCTTTGCCAAAGAAACTCTAAATGGGGTCACGAAGAGTTGGACATGACTAAACAATAACAAAAATGTGAGGTCTCTAATACCTGTAGTACCAGCCTCACTGGGTTGTTATGAATGCCTTATTTGGTTTCAACAATGCTAGTACTCTTAGTCAAACAGCCTTCTATAAGGGCTGCTGGGGGGGCCAACAGACTCATCTCCTCTGCCTTCCAGCCCACCTCCAACTTGGTCAACCAACTCTCTGGAGTTAGCCATTCTGCCCCTCTGACAAAAGACACCAATTCAGGGCTCTCTCCCTCCCCTGGCCCTTTGCCTACGAAGATGTCTGGTCTCCTGGGGGAATCCAGGAATTCTGGAGTTAGCCGAGGCTTCTCATGCAGACTTGGAAAGGAATCCCTGTGCTCACACACGCGGCGGGTGGGCATCCACCCTTTGTGGACCTTCGTACTGGTGCTAGCGCTCATTGTTGGGAACCTTCTCCTGACATCAAACTGACACCTGCCTCTTTTCCACTATCACTTATTGCTCCTGGGTCTGCTCTCCAGGGACAAAAAGAACAAATCAAAAATCCTTCTGCCTTCTGGAGGTGGCTCAGTGAATAGAGTGCTGGGCTTGGAGTCAGGAAGATCTGGGTTCAGATCCAGCTTCAGATGCTTCCTAGCTGTGTGACCCTGAGCAAGTCACTTTAACCTCTGCCTGTTCCCTCATCTATGAAGTAGCAATATTAACAGCATCTACCTCCCAGGTCGTGGTGAGGGTCAAATGAGATACTATCTGTGAAGTGCTTAGCACAGTGCCTGGCACACAGTAGGTGATACAGAAATGTTTATTTCCTTCATCTTTTGACTACTTCAAGACAGCTATCACGTTCCTCCTGAGTCTCTATTTCTTGAGTCCATCAACTGATTCTTCTATGACGTGGCCTTGAAGCGCTTTACCATCCTGGTCACTCTGGATGATCTGGACAGATGCCTTCTAGCTTGTCAATGACCCTCCCAAATGGGAAGGACTCAGACCTGCACCCAGGGTACCAGATGAGGTCTGATGAGGGCAAGGAACCAAATTCTTATTCCTGGAAGCTAATTCTCTCAACGTACCCTAAATTCAAATTCACGTTCTTGGCTGCCCCCATCATACTGCTGACTTCACATTGAGCTTTTGGCCCACTAAAACCACTCACTCCTCAGATCTTTTTCAGATAAACTGCTACCTAACCATGCCTCCGGGGCAGCTAGGTTGGCAAAGTGAATAAAGCTCTGGGCTTAGAATCAGGAAGATTCTTCTTCATGAGTTCAAATCTGGCCTCAGGCACTTACTTACTAACTGTGTGACCCTGGACAAGTCATTTCACCCTGTTGGCCTCAGTTTCCTCATATGTAAATTGAGCTGGAGAAGGAAATGGCAAACCAGTCCAGTATCTTTACCGTGAAAACTCCAAATGGGGTCACAAAGAATTAGACACAGGGGCAGCTAGGTGGCGCAGTGGACAGAGCACCGGCCTTGGAGTCAGGAGGGCCTGAGTTCAAATCTGACCTCAGACACATAATGCTTATTAGCTGTGTGACCCTGGGTAAGTCACTTAACCCCACTGCCTAGCCAAAAACAAACAAAAAAAGAATCAGACACACCTGAAGAAGAACAATGGCTCTATCTTACTTTTATAAAGTTGGTTTTTTGAATCCAATGCACTACGCTCTCTACCATCTTTTTGGAGCCTGGCTGTTACGCAGTCTGTTAAGTTGCTCCTCACAGACTTCTGTCGCCTGCAGACCTGGTAAGAATCCCCTCGATGCCTCTCTTTCAAGTCCTTGTTAAAGGCCAACCACACACCTCTGGGGGCTTCCGTTGAAGGGCTCCGGATAAGCCGACACTGAACCATTCATCAGTGACTGTATCACCTCCAGGGCGCGTGTCTTGAAAATTCCCGCGGTAACTCCATGAGACACTGGGTCTTGATAGCTCTCTGCCCTTTGGTGTCACTTGTGAACCACTGGGCCTTGCTGTTTGCCCTGTTACTGCCTTCTACTCCACCGGGCCTCCCCACACCTTGCCATAAAGAACTTGATCTTCTCAGGGCCTGCCGTGGGGCCTAGGACGTCTTGACTGGTAAGCATGTTACCTGGCCCCCTCGATCTATCCAGCCCCAGCTGTGCTTCATATTTCATTCCAGTCTTGGCATTTTCTTATCATCAGCCCTGCCACCCTATACGTAGACCCTTCTCTTTTTGCCCTTCCCTACCAGCTTTCTAACTCTGGAACCAAAATAAAACCAACACTTCCATGAAGGCTGAAAAGGCCATGCCAATCAGTTCCTCTATGGCTCGGCACTATCCCTGGGACTTCTGAAAACACCATGTGCCTTCCTGGTGACTCCTATAAGCGCTGTCTCTCCCTCTCAGAATATAAGCTCCTCGAGAGGGAGAACAGTCTTCCTTTCGCATTTGTATACCCAGCATTTAACACAACGTTTGGCATATACTAAGTTTTTGCTGTCCAATTCTTTGTGACCCCATTTGGGGTTTTCTTGGCATAGATACTGGAGTGGTTTGCCATCTCCTTCTCTGGCTCATTTGACAGATGAGGAAACTGAGGCAAACAGGGTTAAGTGACTTGCTCAGAGTCACACAGTTGGTAAATGTGAACTCAGGAAGATGACTCCAGGCCTGGAGCTGTGTCTACTGCACCACCTAGCTCTCTTATGTACAAAATATATTTTTTAAAATTTCAATAATATTTTCTGTTCTAATACCATCTATATTTCCCATTACATACCATCTCCCTCCTCCTCCCAGAAAGTCATCCCTTCTAATAAATTAAAAAGAAAAAAAATAATTCAACAAACTGACCAACATATTGAAAACATCTGGCATCTTATGCAATGTTCCACATTCACAGTCCCCCACCTCTGAAAACGAGATGCAGGGAGTTCTTTCTTCTATCTCATCTTTAGGTCCAAGATTGGACAGTATAAAATAAATATCTAACCCTCAATATTTACATGTTGTCTCTTGTCAGAATGTATGCTTCTTAAGAGTAGGGAGTGGTTTTTTTGTTATTGGCAAAGGTAATAAGCCTTGGACCTCTCTTCCTCGAGGAAAGGGTATCTGCCTTACAATTGCTGAAGAAAGAGACAAGAGATTGGCAACTAAGCGGAGCAGTGGCTAAATGACTGCAGAAAAGAATTTGTAGGGTTCCAATCAAATTGAGATATTATAATTTTTAACAAAGAATGATTGCCCTACCAAAATATAAAATCACATAATAAGAAATAAGTAGCTTAAACAACTCAGGCTTATCAAGTGAAACTGGACAAGCCATAAATGCCTTTCTCTTCTTTCCCTGGATTAAGGTCCTGTGGGTATGAATGTGCATACAATGTTAGAAGATGTAGCTGTACTGGTTTTGCTTAATTGCTTTTCTTTGCTGCATGGGATGGCTCACTGATTGGAGGATGGGGAGAGGACATACCTCAAGATGGCTGATGTGAAAACAAAAGATATCGATAAAACTTAGGGGGAAAAAAAGTGTTTGCTTATGTGGCTTTGGGGCTGGGGGTGATATACAGGGTGACCTTCTTTTTATCCCTAGCACTCTGGCCCATATGATTGTTGTTGAGTCGTTTTTCAGCCATGCCCAACTCTTCGTGACCCCATTTGGGAATTTCCTGGGAAAGATACTAGAGGGGCTTGCCATTTCCTTCTCCAGCTCATTTGACAGATGAGGAAACTGAGGCAAACAGGGTAAAGTGACTTGCCCAGGGTGGCACAGCTAGTAAGTGTCCGAGGCTGGATTTGAACTTGCGTCTTCCTTGACTCCCAGCCTGATGCTCTATCCACTGTGTCACCTAGCGCTATAGGTCTTAGTTGTTGTTATTATTGTTACAAAGGAAGATTCAATGTCAGTAAGTATATTGAAAATTATTCTATTTTTTTTAAAGAATAAGGATAATAATAATAGTGTATATATACAAACATACATACATACATATATATACACATATATATATACATATACAGACACACACACACACACACATATATATCCATATCTATATCTATCTATATCTATATCTATATCTATATATATCTACACACACACATATTGCTTTAAGGTCTGCAAACCCTTTTACAAATACCTTCTTAATTGATCCTCACAACAACCCTGGGAGGTAGGTGCCATTATGATCCCCATTTTACAGTTGAGGAAACTGAGACACAAACAGTGACTAGTAAGTGTCTGAAATTTTTTAAAAGGTCCAAATAAAAATTATTATTATTAATTAGGGGAAAAATGCCAAGGACATATCAAATAAATATTATTTGCTTTTTTTGACAGGGTTAACTAGACAGTTACCAAGATTTCAGCTATGCTTTTGACAGTTACTCCAGCTATACTCATGAATAAGCTGGAAAGGCACAGAAGCAATGTGGCATGGTGGATAGAGTTCCTAGACTTAGAGTCAGAAAGACTTGGGTTCAAATCCTGTCTCATATTAAAAGCTGGATTGGACAGCTAGGCAGCACGGTGGATAGAGTGCTGGGCCTGAAGTCAGGAGGTCCTGAGTTCAAAGCCAGCTTTAGACACTTACTAACTGTGTGACCCTGGGCAAGTCACTTAACCTCTGATTGCCTTGATCCACTGGAGAAGGAGATGGCAAACCAAGAAAACCCTAAATGAGGTACATGAAGAGTTGGGAATGACTGAAAAACAGCTAAGCCACAAGCCACAACCTCTCTGGCTCTCAGCGTCCTCATCTATGATGCCAGGAAAGATGCAGGCTAGTTAACAGTGCAGTTACTTTAATTTGGAACTAACTGAATAGCCTGGATCAAAGCAGTGGGAGCCAGCTTGATGTTTTTATCAGTGAATTAGATTTAGGGATAACGGCACGCCTACTCAATTTGCAGATTGCAGAGGGCCAGGAAACACTGGAGTCATCTAAACGGAAGCCTACGGGTTTCCTAATTTTTTCCTAATTTTTACTAATGATAGTTAACGTGTTTATTGCACTTTAAGGTTCACAAAGCTCCTGATGTGGGCGACCTCAGCTGACCCTCTCGACAGCCTTGTGAGGTCAGTGCCATTGTTGTTTCCAGTTCACACATAAGGGAGCTGAGAAATGGGAGGTTACGTAGCGTGACCAGGGTCACACAGGTCTTCCTGACTCCAAATCAATTTCTCTATTCACTGGGCAACCTAGCTGCCTACTCTTACTCACTTATAACTGATCCAAAAAATTTAGTCATGTGTCCAGAGTAACTCCAGTGAGGACAGATAGGGAAGTTCAGCATTGGCCCCTCCAATCATGAACTAGACTGAAATATTTCTCCTTGTTCTTAAAGGGTGATCTGGCACCTCTGTGCCTGAATCTTGACCTTTCCACAATTCTCCCAATTCTAGGAAGCCTAAGGAAATACACCAGGTGTGGACAGTATTTTATCTATTCATTTATTGAGACTCTTCCTGCTCCAAATTAACAAGTAGTTGGAAAACCCCCAGCATGAATTGCCATTTCCCACCCATGGCCCTCTCCGGCTGACTGGCTGCCAAAGCTTTACTCTGTGTAACTCCACTCATTCCCATTCAGTGCTTGTAATTTATGACGTGCTCATCCTGCATCTCATCCTGCATCTTCCTCTTCCTCTTTTTCTTTTTCTTTCTCTAATCCATGTAAAGACTCTTTTCCTAAGTGCCTGCACTTAATCTTACAGTTCAAGCATGAGGAAACAAAAGCCAACAGGATGATCAAGAAGATGATGGAAATCAAAATCCAAACACAAGATTTGTTTTCTGTGGTTTCTTCTTCAGACTTGATAACCACGGGAGGACAGGTGACGGCTGGGTAAGGGAGAGAGGGCAAGTCAGAGGTGGCGGCATCTTCAGGAGAGGGGGGTCCAGAGGAGTTGGAAAGGGGTATTCTTGAGGAGGTAGGGCTGCTTCCTCAAGAAAAGGGACCCCGCTCTCAAAAGAAAAGGTCCTGGAAGGGGATATGACCTCGAAAGAAGAGTCTCTGACCTCCAGGGAAGTATAGACCTCGAGAGGGGGGCCACTGTCCACACTGCCCCCAAAGCCCCTAGAATCACACGTGGGAGGGGCATAGCCATCATCACAGTGACAATGCTTGAGGTTGTTGCAGACCCCTCTGCCATGACACACGGCCTCCGGCTCACAGTCATACCGCAGTACCCGCACGTCAGAGCACGTGCGGTTGAGACAGATCTTCTGGGGGCCACACAAGGTGCCCGCCTTCACGGCCCCTCCGTCAGGGACATCCACGTCCTCAAACAGGTCCACCCCCCAGCACCACGTGTCTTCCAGGGGGATCTGGATGAAAGTGTGGTGGTTCCTTGTTTGGGGCAACCTCGGGATGTCCTCACACAGCAGCCTCCCACACATGACATCTTCAGGCTCACACTTGACAAACGCCTCGTGTGACCCTTTCTGGCCGCTGCCACAGTTCCCAAACCTGTCCCCCTGGCTGTTCAGGTGGTGGTAACAGCTCTGCCGGGCGGCTCTGGAGCCCTCACCAAACACCTCCACACACTGCCTCTGCAGGCTCCTGCACCGCCCCTGGTAGCAGTAACCTCCGCCACTGCACGGGGTGCCATCTTGCTTGTAGGTGTCAGGCTGGCACCACATTGAGCTGCCAATACAGTATTCGGGGAGGTCACACTCATCCACGCTGGGACGACAGGGCGTGCCTGCCTTCAGAAACTTGCACTCTCTGCAGCATGCTCCAAAACTGCAGTCTGAGCCCTGCCTCATCTGGCAGGAGGGCAGGCAGCACGGGTCCTTCATACAGTCACGGGGACCGCCACAGTCACACTCTTCCCCTCTGTCTACCACGTGGTCCCCACAGAAGGGCTTCCTGACCTTTCCCCTGGGCGCCGGCTTGTCATACAGGCAGGACCCTTTGTGTTGGCGCAGGAATTCGTAGAAATCGTCGAAGCTACAGTTGCTGAAACGACTCTCAAAGCTGAAGGTTTCAAGCATGATGCAGGAGGGCTGGTCAGGACACATGCAAGCCAGGTGGTCGTGCTTCATGCCAAGGTTATGGCCCAGCTCATGCACCATGAGCACTGCAAAGACAGTAGCATCTTCATGATAGAAAGATTCGACTCCTGCTGAAAGCTCAGACACACAGGCCCCACTGAGAAACGCTTCCCCCAGGTATTCTCCTGGATCGTATCCTACTATGAGATGGGCAACATCATGCCTTGCCCGACCGACCAGCTCCTCTTCTCTCCACCGGTTGAAGTTGTGCAGCACTTCCCGCAGGTCCCCAGAAACCCCCACCTGGTCCCTCTCTGTCCAGATCTCCAAACCTATCAGGACCACCTTGACGTGGATTCCCTGGTTGTAGGTGTTAACGTGGGCAAGAGCGTCCATCACCGTCCGCACTGTCTTGGTCACGTTGCCATTCCACATTTGGAACCGCCTAGTGTCAACCACGGCAAACATCTCCACGTACTTGGTGTGGGACCAGATGTAGTTCAGGGCCTCAGTTTCAAGTGTCTCTTTCTCTCCCCTTCTGTTTCTGCACACTGCTTCTGAATCTTTGGCTTTCTTCTGCAGTCACTCTGCAGGAGCATTGGCGGTGCCCATCCACGCGATATAAGATGTGTTCAAACCGCCTCAAGGTTTCAATGGGCTCAATGCCATAGACTGTTTTCTGGATGGTCATTATGCCCCTGAGGCCTGAACAGGCGCTGACAGACACCATGGACCCCGGCTCACCTTCTATGAATCCATCATAGTGGCCACTGTCTGGGATAAAAGGTATGTCTAAACTTGGGACACCTTTGGAGTAGATGTAAACAGGGAAATTCTTGACCAACAACTTTCTCTTTAACTTCCAGTGAACAATTTGTCTCTTCTCTTCAATTAGCAGCACATAGGACAGTTGACCTTTTGAGTCTTTCCTGTCCCTGCATGTTAACCTACTGGGGATGATGATTTCATAGGAAGAGTGATGTACTGATTCCAAGGCACCGTAAATGCCTTGGGACACCTCTGGAGTAGATGTAAACAGGGAAATTCTTGACCAACAACTTTCTCTTTAACTTCCAGTGAACAATTTGTCTCTTCTCTTTCATTAGCAGCACATAGGACAGTTGACCTTTTGAGTCTTTCCTGTCCCTGAATGTTAACCTACTGGGGATGATGATTTCATAGGAAGAGTGATGTACTGATTCCAAGGCACCGTAAATGCCTGGGAAAAGGATATCCACCACCACCAAGAAGACCCCAGCCTGACGTGATAGGCTCCCAGCATGAGACCCAAGTCCCTCATCTGAGGACCCTTGGACGAAAATTCTCTCCCGACCTCATTTATGACCATTTGTTTCTCAGGGACCCTAACTGGAGCCACAGTCACAGACATAATTCAAGTGAAGTAACTGATGACAGCGGCAGCTATCCTCAGCACCTTCCTCACCTTGGCCCCTGATCTCAATCACATGGTCATTTCTGTGTTATTTTGGGTTATTGTATAGCCACCATCCTCAGAATTGCCAAGATCTCTCTTGGCTCCCTCCCCGATCTGCTGACCTCCCCTCTTCCCCTTAGACAGTGTTTGATTCTGTGGTCCCCATACAAGAACAGTAGCCCCAGTGTTCCTGGTGGTGTTCACTGCTGAGCTCCTTTTGCCTTGGTAGACAGCTCAGACAATAGAGGGCCAACCAGTGGGCTAGCTCAGGACACGTAGATAAAAAAAAGAAATAGCATCTCTCCTTCCATTCTCAGCCCCAGACACTGTGGACATAGACCCCTCCCCCACCCATTCAGGGCATCCGTTATTCTTCCCTCTCTTTGAATCTAAGAGTTCCAGAGGTAAGGCCCAGAGATCTGGGCAGGACCCAGAACTTTTCTCACTACTTGTTTTCCCCAAACCAACACCGCTCTTTCTCCTGTTCCGCTGTCCTTCCCTGATGCAGGGTCTCTTCTGCTCCCAAAAGGGTTTTAAGAGCTGGCCACTGACCTGCTGGTGACCAGAGAACGTCCCACTAGGCATGCACGCTCACTCCCAAAGGGATGGGGCCTACTCTTTCTGCCCCAATTCCCCCTTCCTTTGGAAGAAGTAACAGACCTTGCACTGTCCTATCTGCCAAGTGCCAGTGTGCCAATACCTAATTGAGAGAGCAGTTCTAAAGTCCCAAATAGAAACCAGCCTCTCCAAAGATTCAGGGAACAGCAACAAGTGGCCACAGTAGCATCTGATAGACAGCAATACCTGAAAGAAGGCAACGGATTTGGTCCCTGTGGTACCCAAGATGCACAGTCCCTTTGAAGACCAACTCAACAATTCAATCCGAATCAGCACAGAGCAGCAAACATAAACTTAGCAGCTCTGTCTGAGCCCAATACCAGTTTGCCCAAGAGCCTCTGGCCAAGACTAAAGCTTTGTTATCTTGACTCTACTTGGTTTAAGTCTGTTGGTTCCCACCTTCAAAAAACCCCTCAACCTCCCAATCTTCCAAGCAAAGGAGATGTCTTCATTCATTTATATTAAGCACCTAAATCACCGTGCACTGCGCTAGGTCCTGGAGATAACAGAAACAAACGTGAAAATACTCAACCACTTACCTACCTGTCATGTGAAAGGCTTAGACTCATCCTGTTTGGTCCCGAGAATGGGCATGAGTACATGGAAAGTGCAGAAAAGCAGATTCCAGCTGAAAAAGAAAAGCTTTCCTAATCCACAGAGCTGAACAGAAATAGGATAGGCCACCATGGGAGATGTGGAGCCCCCGTCTCTGAAAGTGCTCTAGTGGCAGCCGCTTGCTCAGATTGTTCAAGGTGATTCTTCTGCAGGGAGAGGTGGGACCCTACTTGAGTCTCTGAGGTCTATTCCAATGCTGAAATTCTAGGAGTCTATATCATAAATAATTTTCAAATATTCTATTTTAATGCTAAGATTGCATTCTCCTTTGCTGTTTTGGAATTCTGGGGATGCTGGTCACTATCATAGTATCATATGGCCTGTGCTTTCATTGTTGTTTGTTTGTTCAATGGTCTCCGTACCTACAATCAGCAGAGCATAGGGAAAAGGAGCTTGAGCGTCAGAGGACTTAGGTTTGTGTCTCTGTGATTTAGGGCAAGTCTGTTAATTTCTCTGTGCCTCAGTTTCCTCATCTGTCCAATGTGCAGTTGGTTGTTTTAGGTGGTCTCTCAGGTCCCTTCCAGACTCCAATCATTTTACAAAATGGATCAATTTACTCAACGTTTGCAGAATGATGGTTTTGACATGAGAGGCGGTGCAGTGTCCTGGGTAGAGGTCCGCCCTCCAAGTCAGGAAGACCTGGGTCCAGGTTCTGTCTTTTGATACCTAATTGGCTATGTGACCCTAAACAAGTCACATCACCCCTCAGTGGTCCCAGGCAGGTCTCTAAAACTGTATGAAGAATAGTTGCTCAACTATGTTAGTAGGAATTTCCTACGCCAATGAAGGCATAGGCAGGGACCCCCCCAAAATGTTTTGGTATATATATCAACGTAGGCCAGAAGCCTAGATAGAAAAGCGTGACTCTTTAATGGTGCATGATGTAGTGGAAAGAGGACAGGGCTTGGAATCAAAAGACCAGGGTTCAAGTCCTACTCCAATATTTGTTCTACTTATCTTGGGTTCTTGGCATGAAACCTGAAGGCTTCGCCCACCCTAAAGGGCGGTAGAAATGTGTAGGTTATCATGCCTCTTGTGCATTTAGTCCTTCAGTTCAGGGTAAAATGACCCAGTACCATTTTGATGATGAAAACAGGAAGAGTTTGGAGTAGCAGCATACATAGGTTGACTCAATTAAGATGAAATTTGCAAGGGATATAAGCATTTAAGCACTTATTGTGTGTGCTGAGTGTTTTACAAATATTATCTCATTCAATTCTCACAATAACCCTGGGAGGCAGGTGCTTGTTATTACACCCACTTTACAGCTGAGGAAACTGAGGCAGACAGAAGTAAAGTGACTTGCCCAAGATCACATAGCTAGTTAAGTGTCTGAGGCTGGATTTGAACTCAGGTTTTCCTAACGCCAAGCCTAGTGATCTGCCTCTGCAGCTGAGCACAAATGTAAAGTTTAGTCATTCAACACTCATTTACTAAGCAAGCACCTAAATGTCATGAGGTTACAGAGGAAAAAACATTTGAAGCCTGAATTTTAGGCATGAGCCTGCCAGAAACAATTTTTATTCGTGTTATTAAGCAATAATTTTATTAATTACTTTTTAAACAATAACTATTTTAATGAAATAAATTCTTATCACTTCTGCTTAGAGACAGAAGTCTAGAAAGGGGCAAGAATTTCTCCATGACTTTGAAAACTCTTTCTTACATAAGCCATTTTTGGAGTTATAACTTGTAGTAATCTCAAACAAGAAACACAATTCCAGTTGAGATTGAACAAGGATTTAGAAGTGAGGTAACAGGTCAGGCAGTACAAACAGAGCAGCAGTCATTTAATTTTTGGCATACCCAGAGATCTTAAAACCATCCCTCTCTGATTATTACCTCTAAGAAAAGGGTTAAAGTTGGGCCCATGAACTACACACACACACACACACACACACACACACACACACACACACACACACACACACACACGTGTGGAGCATGGGCAAACCCTACCAGCTTTTTCCCTTGATGCAATCTGCCAATGTGGAGAGCCTAGGAAGCCTGCTGTCAGCAGAGACTGTGGAGCAGGCATAGACATTCTATAAATAATTCCAGAAGGCTAATTATGCGGTTGGTTAAAGCCTTTTTTGGTTGGCTGCATAGCTAAAACTGTCAGCATCTTCAAAAGTCAGCTTTGGCTGTTTCTGCTTCTTCCGTGTCTGTGGGTACTCTCGACTTTTTTGCTCACGGCACCCATGACAGACCATGCCCTGAGGGGAAGGAACGCCTTCAAGCCCTTCTCTCTTAGGCTATGTGGCCCCAAGCGGACCCTGGGTTTTGCATTCACTCTTTTCCATTGGGGTTCAGATGCTTTAGCAGGCGGGTTGCCTGATCACAAGAGAGGGAGCCATGAGAATTCAGGAGCCAGAATCCAGGCTGGTCAGCACAGCATTGATGTCCCAAGGTTCAGGACCCCAACCTAGCTGAAGGACTCATCTGCCAGCAATGCTGCTTTTAGAAATGAGCTCGGAAAGACCAATGCTTTGTAGGAACTGAGCCAAGTTTTGAGTATTCCTCCAGAGAGTGAGGCGTAGGAGAGAACATTCTCTCCTCAGGTAGCCCTCAAGCTACTGGGGGAAATGTTTGTACTTTTGCTTTTGCTACAGCTGTGAAGTAGATACCCCTCTGGTAAAAGGTACTCGGTGTCAAGTGGTTAAATGGAATTGAGGTGCTCATCACCAACCCCTAATAAATGGGGGTGGGAGGAACATAGTCTGTGATGGCTTGAGTCAATGGCAGTAGAGAAAGCCAGGGTGGCAACCCTACAACATTCCAGTGAATCTTTCTGTCATGC